AACCTATTTCCATTTTTTCTTTTAATTCCATTGTATAAAATAAGGTACAAAACTGCAATTCTCTGGAACATTTTTTCAATCCATTGAGGTTTTGCTTCCCAACAATTGTCATCGGCTTGGCTCAAATAAACTCAGAAAAATTCTCTACATGTTTGGCTGTTTCTACGGTGATACCTGTGATGCAGACTCTTCCTGAAATGACATTGTTGTGGCTTGAATTATTTCCCCAAATATATGTAAAGTCCTGACCTCAAGGACTTTGCAAATGCAATAAAATAAAGATGAAGGTATACACATTAAATTGGGTCATAATCCAATATGACCAGTGTCCTTACAAGAAGAGAAGAGAGACACTGTCACTGGAACAGATGGTCACCGTGACTATGTCCCATGAGGCAGGTGACAGCCTCCCACAGGCAGAGACTGAGGTGCTGCTTCTATAAGCCTAGGAAGGCCTGAGGATGAGGAACAAGGAAGGGTTCCCCTCACAGGGTTCAGAGGGGCCTGGCACTGCAGGCTCCTTGGTTTTGGACTCTAGTCTCCAGAGCTACAAAACAATGTACTTTGGTTTTTTGTTTGTTTTTAAGCCAGTCAATTTGTATTTTTATTGTAGAAGCCTGGAGAAAATAATGCAGACACAATTTCTTATTAACAAAACTAGCAGTTTGCACAGTGTCTGGAATGTGCACTTTTACATTGAGCTGAAATGAATTGTAAATCATTCAGATGTGAAAAGTAGGCCAAATGTGTATTCCTACAGAAACTTACTCTTTATCTGCCTCATCCACAACTTCAGTCCATCCTCCATCCAAACTCGGGGCCTTTCCTATCTCCCACCCACTAGTCCTGGGCGCAGTGGTGCAGTCTTGAGGGTGACACATTGTCAAAATCTGTAGAGGCCTAGGTCAGTCCACTTCATCACTGACCCTAGTCAGCCCAGCAGGTTACTCCCTAAACTGGCCTCCTTCCCCCTGCACAGGTCATGCTGCTTACATGCCAGGAGACAGTGGCTGCTGGGCTTTGGGAATATTCCCTCCTGGGCTCCTCCTGCGGTAGGGGTAGGTCATGGTGGCTAGAAGCACAGACTGAGACCTCCAGGAGGGGTGGGGTGCCACTGTGCCTACAGAAAGGAGAACTACTATTCCCCGAGGGTATGTTTTAAAGAGATGCCTTTGGGATTCACATGAACTGTTTTCCCTGACTAAACCATCCTTCCTCACCCTCAGGACTTCTATTTGCAAATATCTGCAGGCTTCTAAGAAACTCCCCCTTCTGTGGAACCTCACAAGTCTCTTGGGAATGCTGAATGGGGATGGCCTGGGACCAGGTCCTTAATTAGAGACCTGCAAAGAAGCCAGCAGTGCCCAGCTGCTGGTCAGGGTCAGGAAGAGAACTCAGACCGCTGCCTGCCAGGGCTATTTATACTCCCAGTGTCATTACCCAGTGATGCTACCCCAAGGGCAGAGAACAGCAACTTGGTGCTTTCATAAAAGGGAGCTAAACGCAGACCAAGCCCCCTTTTTTCCTCCTCCACCCCCATTCCGTGCTCTGTCCACGTCCTCTCATCCTTCTCCTTCCCTCTCTTCCATGAACACTCCATGCCACACTTTGCTAGTGTCATAATTACTCATACTTAAGAACATTTAACATTTTACAAATAAAAATATGGACTTGATTATCATATATTTATGTACAAAAATTTTTCTCCATTAAACATGAGAATTACATAATTCACCCGCACAGAGGTTTGTTTAAAAAAAAAAAACAGCAACAACAACACAAAAACCTGTATACTTTCCAACTGGATGTGACCAAATAACATACTTAAAGAAATGCCCAGCCATGATAATGAAACCTCGCACCTCGGGGACACGACTCAGAGGTCCTGACTCCTTCAGGGTCACATCGGCAAGACAGGCACATTCAAATGCAGCAGACAGTCATCTCTAGCCATTCCCGGGCAAAATACCAACATAAACCCTGAGACAACGCTTCCCATGTCAATGAGACCTATGAGTCAATCATACCTCTGTGTCACTGAACTTACATGATTTCATCTTAAATAGTTTTTATTGATTTTTAGAGAGAGGAAGAGAAAGGGAGACAGAAACATCAATGTGAGAGCATAACATTGTTTGGCTACCTCCTGCACACCCCCCACTGGGGATGGAGCCGCAACCTGGGCATGTGGAACCAGCAACCTTTTTGGTGCATGGGATGACACCCAACCAATGGAGCCACTGGCCATTGGTTATTTTAGAGAGTTTTAAAACTTATATTTTATTTAATGTACATATTTTAATGATATATGGACAAGTCTATGCTAGTCTATTAACTTCACAACTTTAAGACATATATTTCAAAACTCATATATTCATAGAGAAAAGCCACAAGAAAATTCTAACAAAATAACAATGGCAATCTCTGGATTGTGGTTGATAGGTGACTTTAACATTTTCTTTAACCTTTTTCCCCTTAAATTTTTATAATTGATATTGATTTATTTTATAACAAAAATAAAAGCACTTTTGAAAGTAAAGCATAGGCAATACAAAGTATCTAATTAATGTTTAGTGATACACATTATTACTGAGCCGGAAGCTTTTGTTTGCTTCCCGAGTCTTGACTATTAGTTCCAGATTATTACCTCGAGCAAGCTGTGAAATTCTCATACTCTCTTTCCTTCTATGTAAGATAGAGGTGAGGCGATCTACCTCAGAGTTAAAGAAACGATATCTGTAACCTCTCAGTTCAGTTTCTGAAGGTGGTAGGTGCTGATCACACATCAGCAAGCATGGATCTTTGCCTTATTCTGCAACCAAATCATGTCCTTGATTTTGGTAAAGTATGGACCAAGGACAATGTGCATCAGACTCACTAGGAGAACTTAGTAAACGTGCATTTACTGAATTAAAATTTATAGGGCAGGGAAGTCTATATGTTTAGAAAGAACCCCCACAGATCCATATATTAATTACATCCTATATAATAAAAGACTAATATGCAAATAGACCGAACAGTGGAACAACTGAACAAACAGTCGCTATGAGTGCACTGACCACCAGGGGGCGTGTGCAGAACATGGCAGGCATTGGCTGTGGTGGGATGGTGGAGCAGGTGAGCTGGGGCACCAGACCAAGATGGGGCACCGGTCGCTGTCAACGGGGCAAGCCTCTGGTGGTTACTGAAAATTCTTTGCTCCCGCACACTGCAGTACGCCCCGGCACTTGCACCTGCTGCTGGCACCAGCCCCGCTTGGCTTGCACCCACTGCTGGTGCCGGAGCCACTGCTCACACCTGCTGCCGGTGCCCGACGCTGGTCCCGATCACTCTGTGCCATAAGCAGGTGCAAGCAGCGGCTGTTGCCCCTGATTGCCCTTGAGGGCTTCTCCACCTCCCCCTGCTCCTGAGGGGCGATTGGGGCAGCAGCCACTGCTCGCACCCACTGATGGCGCTGGCCCCAATCGCTCTGCTCCATCAGCGGGTGCGATCAGGGCCAGCACTGTCAGCATGTGGGAGTGGCAGTGGCAGGAGTGGGGCTGCTGGCAGACAGGGGCCACGGTGGGAGGGGTTGGGCGGGGGTGAAGAGGATGGCTGGAGACTCGCCCCTGTGCCTACCACAGCCCCACAGCCCCACAGCCCCACAGCCCACAGTTCCTTTCAAGGTGCACAAATTCATGCACTGGGCCCCTAGTTTTGAAATAACTAGGATCCACAGAAAACCCTACCTAGTACTTGACCAGGCTGTTGAGCATTGTAGTTTACCAAAACCTTGAAAAGGAAATAGCATCATGATTCCTAATTTATTTATAAAACTGGGGCGAAGCAGCTAGCATATATGCATTTTGCAGATAAAGAATTATGGAAATTCAATGAAATGACAATCAATTCCATGAAACTAGCATTTTCTGCAGAAAAAGATGTGGCCCTTTGTATTCAGATGGGTGGATTGCTAAGTGTCCTTAATCACCATTTTTGCAAAGATTTGCTTGCATGTCTACCTGTGATTTTTGCACATTAGTATCACCAATTTTACTGCCTCGTGAAGGACAGTGACTATGTCTTATTTCTCTGCGCATCCCTAGAGCCCAGGACAGAGTCTGCTACAGACTGAGCTCCACGGAGGGGCCGCCTTGCTGCTGAGGAGCTGGAGCTGCTGAGATTCACTGAGACTCGGTGCGACTCAGCAGCTCCCTGCATCCCGTCTCACTGCATGACTCTGGCCCCTCCAAGTTAGGCTGGAACCCCAACCCGTGGATGTGCCCATTACGGCTCACAATGGAGAGTGCACTCACCATGCGATGTTTTTCGGAAACGATTACATCAAACTGTGGCTTTGTGGAATTATTTTCCAAAATAAAGTAGTGATCAGACGCAGTCTCTAAGCCTATGAAATAACTGACTCTGACTAGGCACTTAGAACGAAGTGGCAGCATAAATAAAATCTCCAGAAAAAAGCAAATAGTTCACTTTACTTTTCCCTGAGGCATCCACTGGATAACTAGTCTGACTGCTTGCTCCGATACACAGGAATGTGCCTAACCCTCACAGCTCTGAGAGATAGAAAGCGTTATTCCCACCGCGCTGGTATAACACAATGGAAGCTCCGAGAGAACACCGATTCACAGTCCTCAGGGCCAGACATGGGCCAGGCGTTCCCACCACCAGAGTCAAGCTTCCTATTCACTTTGAGTTTTGTTTTTTGTTGGTTGGATGTTTTCATGTGCTTTCTGGTTTTGAGTTCTAAGAGAGAAAACATGTGTGACAAGTTCTATAGAAAATTTTTGGTAATTAACTCTTGGTTTTGGTGGAACACGAAGCCTGTTAAGTTTTCTTCTCTCATGAAAATAACCTAGCTGCTAATTCTATTATTTACTAAAATACCATTTCCCCCCAGAATGTGGTCTTTTATTTGCAAGTGTGTCCCTTGCCGTGGACTTCCCTTGGCCGTGTGCCATCACACAACTGGACAGAGCTGAGTGAGAAGTCTGCACCCTCACCTGTGACATTGCAGTACACCTGGAGAGCTCCCAGCGGCCCGCTGCCGTCCGGGTCAATGTGGAAGAAGCCAGCCGTGTTCCCTCGGTGCCTGTACACCTCGCAGGATCGCTCGTAGAGGGCTGGGGAGACACAAAGGCAGCGAGGAGGAAACGTTGCATGGCTCTGCATATTCCTTAGATGCATCAGTTACTTCTACTTCTACTGACTGTCAATCTTGGCTTCCTTCCTTCCCCTATAACTCGACTTCCCCCCAAGTCTTAACAAACCAGCATCCCAATACTTGAGGGAGTCCCACCCTCCATTCACCTTAACAGTCACACTTTTCACCAGCTCAGAAGTCACACCCTTCAAGAGCCTCCCCTTCCCTGGGCTATGACCTGCTGTGTGCTGATGTGTATGTCCCTCCTGGATGCCTGCATGGTGTGTTGATCTAGGACTACCAGTGACAGCTTGTGAGAGTGGTGGCCGTATGTTGTTGGCACATGTTCCAGCATCTGGCAGAGTGCCACCTTCACAGCAGGAGTTTGATCAATGAATGAAAAACCGAATAGACACATACAGTCATGACTTTTTACTAATAAAGTAAAATGGCACTATCTTATTAATACATGTCCAGAGATCAGCATGGTGACTGATGTATAGTAGGTGCCCAATCAAGTTTATTTTAACTTAACAAGCATTTATCAAGTCCTTAACATATGTCAGCAGTGTGGTTGCCACTAGACGACAGAACATGAAGAAGGCGACCAGTCTGGGCCTTACGAAGCTCACAGCCTGGTTGCTGCCATGAAGGTCTGTCTGTGTTCAGAGAGAGGCAGACATAGGGGCCCTGAGATAGACTACCTTGACCAATCTGCAGATGTGAGAAACATAGAAATCTCATTACACCAACATGAATGAATCTGGTAGGGTATAAAGGAGGCATCTGCTGTCTTATGCATGAGAATACAGGATGCTCCCTGGTGCTTTCGACAAAATGGTATAACTCTGAGCAGCAGGTACACATCCAATTGTGTCATCATCCCATGCTTAAAAGACAGTGGCTTCCAAAAGCTTTAAAGATAGAGCACCAAATCTTCACCTTTGCCAACGTGTCCCTGTGATGAATGCCCCGTCCCACGAAAATGAAGCTGCAGTTTGTCATGATCAAGCATGAGGGGTACCTCAAATAATTCATTACCGATAAAGTTCTAAATCTTGAGAGGATTTGAGCTTTTATAAATTAGAGTGACTTCAAGGTTATCTTTGCACTCATGGACTTCTCTCTTGCAGCCATATACACTTTCTGAACTAGGAAATAAATGAGAGAGTTATAGTTCCACTCTACATACTGACCATAATATAGAGCTGATTTCTCTTTTCCCAAACCTAATAACTGCTGTGGCATGCATTATGGGTATGTGTCATGCGTGTGGAAGTCACCTCTAGGTGTGGTGTCTCTCCCCAGCCACTCCCACACTCCCAACATAACAACCATGTGAAAGGGCTGCTGCTGTCTCACTCAAGCATATTTGGGGGGTTACATAGCGATTAAGAACAGGAGCCGTGGGCCCAATGGGTGTGTGGCTCAGTTGGTTGAGCTTTAGCCCATGGACCAGGAAGTCGCTGGCTGGGTTCCTGATCAGGGCACATGCCTGGCTTGTGGGCTCCATCCCCATTAGGAGACAGCTGATTGATATTTCCCTTTCCTCAATGTTTCTATCTCTCCCTCTCCCTTCCTCTCTCTGAAATCAATAAAAAACATTTTTTAAAAAAGAGCTTGAACCCTGGAGTTAAATTGGATGGTGTTGCATCACAGGCTACCACTTATACCTATTGGAGGTTGGATAAGCCAATTCACCTGTGGTAGGCAATCGCTAAGCTAACTCATTCTATCCTCACCTCTTGGTATTCATATCTTGCTCATGAATTCATGCCCTCCCTTGAGTGTGGGCTGGACTTATGGATGTGTCTCTAAGACAATATGACAAAAAGGATAAATGTCATTTCCAAGACTTGATTATAGAAAGACAGTGGCTCCCACCTTGGGTAATCCTGGATCACTCACTCTGGGGAAGCCAAGCGCTATGCCAGAGGCGGCCTTGAGGAAAGGCCCCCATGAGAGAGCGTGGACCCTCATGAGACATGCCATGGGAGTGGGCCCTGATGCAGAGCTCCACAGCCAAACACTGCAATGGTTGCAACTCTCGCTGACACCTTAACTGCAGCCCGGTGAGAGGCCCAGGCAGAACCACTCAGTTTAAGTTGCTCAAGGACCAGAGAATCTATGAAGTGGTGATGTCTGTTGCAACATTTTGCTGTGATTCGTTGTGCAGCATTAGATAGCTAACAAACTCTCAAAGCACTAGTTTTCTCATGGGATATAGGTATAAACATATCTATGTACAATTGTAGTGAGGATTCAAAGAGATAATCCACAGACAGCACCTAGCACAGTGCTTGGCACATAGGAAATGCATGATAAATATGATTATAACTATTATTATTACTATTGCATTGTTTCATGAAATGTTGCCTCTTTTTGGTAAGGTTTTTTACTTGACTCTTTTAGTGATAATAAGCCTTGTGGTGTTTAGAACATGAATCACAAGGCTTGTTATGAAAAATTAGTAGACCCAACAGCCCTTCTGTGAAGAGATGTTGGCTTTTGCTAGTAATTCTCAGTTCATTTGGGTTATTTTCAGTTTTTTGCTATTTCAGTTGTGACATTTTTAAATTCCATAGAGTGTTTATTCTTATAATAGAGGAATATTCTATTCTTCCCTCTGAATATTCCTTTTTTAATAATATGCAATTCCTGATTCATTGATGCAATATTTCTCTAATATTTGTGAAAATATTTATTATAACATAATTTCTTTGACACTTTCATCTCTTTAAACATACTGTTTCCCCCCGACTGTGTGTGTGTGTCTTTCATGTTAGACTCTCTTCTGCAATGTCAGGTCCTCTTTGGTAGGTAGTCCTCTCATACTAACCGTGGTCTAAATTACTGATTGCTGTAAGCAAATATAGGTAGTTTGTCCTCCGAGGACTGCACTGTAGTATTACCTGGCTGGACCACATCTTGGGAAACCCCCATGTAGTGTCTTCAGTGCTTTCTCCTGGTGTTGTTAGGTTCTATAATTAGAGGGTCTTTGACATGAGATGTGGAAGGTGGAAGTGACACCATGCACACATTCATTTTACGCTTGGAAAGTCAGTGCAGGGCACGAGGTGCTATTATAGTTACACATGTTGTCACTTAACGGCAGACCTCAGTTGTTAATGTGAGTTGGCTATGCCATGCCAGCTGCCTCTCCAGATGGGCCATCTCTCCCTCCAGCTTCCCTAGCTCCCAGCCATGTACGTGTTTAGATCTCTTATGATCACCCCATCACTAAAGTTGAAGGATTGGTTGTGGTTAAGACTCAAGGTGCTTCTCTGATCAGCTGCAGACTGAGCCATTTAAGGAAATTTATATCATTTACTGCTGTTTATGTGAAGCTTTAGAAGGAAGTGAAGGTTATACATATGTTGAGTCCACCCACACTTCCAGGAAGCCCACTACCTGTAAGCTACATTGCTCCTCCTGTACTGCAGGCCTCACACACTGCACAACAGGAAGTGAATACAAATTTATTGACACCCTACAAACTTCTCAGTAACTTTAGCCTAGGGCTCTCAGAAATGAAATAAAAAATACATGGTTCTTCACCTCAGATAATTCATGGTTTTAAAGTTTACCAAAATTAACCTCAATACAAATAGAAAAATATTAAAAGACCAATTTCTATAAAATAAATAAAAACTATTTAAAGGTCTCCTCTACAACAAGACATTAGAATCATATGGTATCTATTAGAGTGTAGAGTATTATAATGCCACTTATATCTCTCCAAAGTATAGGGAAAAAATAAATCTTTCAAATTGCTACACAGAGTAAGTGATGTAGTAGGCAGCTAGAGAGACATGGCAGAATAGGAACAATAGGCTGGATACGGAAAGTCACCCAGGGCCTAGCAGTGGATAATTGTAAGGTGGGAACTTGCACACAGGGTGACCTTTTATCCTCTAGTATATCAGCTGGTCCTGTGATTCAGACCCTCCCCTGAGCTTTCCTTTCCTGGCAGGTCACTAGTCACGTGGTAGACCCCTTAAAGGAGAAACAAGGGGGCTAGAGAAGAGCCTCATAGGACTACCATAGAAGCCTTTGATGACCACTTTAATGACAGTTCATGACTACTTCCTTTAAGCATTAAACCCTCAAGACAATGAAGTCTGACCCACATCACATAATCTTGGAAGTAGAGCCTCTGACCCCAGATAACAGAGACAGAGTTTTGGTCAAACTAGAGAAGATATCTAAGGCTCAGTTGTGATTTAGCTTTATACCTAGAGAAGTAGAAAAATCAGACAGAGCAATGCCATGGCTGACATCAGGACCAGATGCAATGACCAACAACCCTCTATCCTAGTGCTGGCCAATGAGTAGAGACCATGACCTTGAAAGGACACACCTGGAAAGCTGATGAATATTCTATTGAAATCCTCTCCTGAAAATTCCTGCCTTTAGAAAATAGATACAACACCTTAAGACAAAGAACCTAGTGCACTCTTTCTCTTTCTCTCTTGCTCTGGAGCAAGCTGCACCTTCCCCCGCCTCCTTCCCTCAGGTGTGTTTTCTTTCTCCTAAGCTCCTCGGGCCCTTCTTGTGCCTCTGTGACATGTTTCCCGAGTCCATGCAGCACAGCTGGCTGGCTCACTTCTTCTACCTCTGACTTTCTAATAAACTTTCACTTGTATTTGATTTCTTGGCTCTGAATTCTTTTCTCAGCTGAACTCAAGGACTGAGCTCTAATATTCTGGTGTCATTCACCATTATCAATAAGCCCAAAGGTGATCCCCAAGTCCAACGAAGACCACACCAATAAAGAAAACTTCAGATTCACTTGTGAATATCACTAAAAACTTACATAATCAGCAGTTAATACCCAATAGTGTATTTTAAAAAAAACACAAAGGCCAAATGGGGGCTTAATCCAAAAATGCAAGAGTGATTCAAAATTATCTATCTATCTATCTATCTATCTATCTACCTACCTATCATCTGTCTATCATCTATCTATCTATCTAGATA